CAACTGCCAACACCAACTTTTTACGAAATAATCGTGAAAGTAGTGTGTGAAATAAAATATAGATAAACTTGTCATTTCTCTAAGTGCTTAAACTTCGACACCAACTTTTCACGAAATATAAGTCATGAAGTACCTTGGTTGAGCGGAAAGTAAGACCTTCATTCCAGCTATCTCATGTGTTTCTTTTCTTCATTTCTTCCACAATCCCCTTTTTTCACTTCTGATTAATTTGCTTACTTCTGGCCTGAAAACATCTGGCCTTTGGTCATAGTCAACATGCAGACCAGTGTTGTCCCTCCATTTTGTAGCTGATTGCCAAACAGAAATTATTATCTTAAATAAAACATAGACTAAATTTATATATCACGAAACTGGAAGTACTTCGGATGATTTATTTATTGTTCCTTACATGTAGAGAGAAATTTATATATCTAGACATAGAATAAAGATTGTTCATACTTCATGTAATCCTTACATGCACGGTTTATGACGTTTAATAGTTGATATGTATTTGGTTTCAGGGAATTAGGAAACCGTGGAAAGGTGTACTCATGTTTGGCCTTCCTAGTACTGGGAAGACACTTCTAGCTAAAGCTGTGGCTACTGAGTGTGGTACAACATTTTTCAACGTTTCTTCTGCTACCCTGGCTTCAAAGTGGCGTGGGGAGAGTGAAGGAATGGTCCGGTGTTTGTTCGATCTTGCAAGAGCTCATGCTCCTAGTACAATATTCATTGATGAGATTGATTCTCTTTGCAATTCTCGAGGGTGAGAATTTTATTATTCTGTACAGGCAATTTTTAAATTTGGCCAATGGGCCATTTTGCCTGAGATTATTCTCTTTTTACAATTATTTCAGCTCTCTTTTTACAATTATTTCAGCAGTTATGTGCGTTGGGGTACACGAATGCATGTATGACATAGATCTGCTTACATTTCAATACTAACCAAATTCTCCATATTAGTCCCCCAATTCTTTGTGGTTAATCTGTTTTGTGTTGCTTGCTTAAATACCTTATAAGCACAATTGAACTGCCTTTATACTTGTACTTTAGATGAAGGAAAGCTTATTTATTACCATGTGAGAATTCACATGTGTTCATATGTATCAACGTCAAGCCCCTTTTTATGAAACCAATTTTTAGGGCTTCAGGAGAGCATGAATCTTCCCGACGGGTCAAATCGGAGCTTCTAGTTCAGGGTAGATGGTGTCAATGCTTCTTCCACCAATGAAGATGGTACTCGCGAGATAGTGATGGTTTTAGCAGCTACAAATTTTCCTTGGGATATAGATGAGGCATTGAGGTCTGGTTTTGTTTCGTTCACTTTCTTCATATTTGATTTTATTTCTTGAGGTTCTAGGTAGGGTGCTTTTTTGATCTGATACAACAATGATTAATGCAGGAGGCGGTTGGAGAAGAGAATATACATTCCACTTCCAAATTTTGAGAGTCGCAAGGCGCTTATAAAGATCAATTTGAAAACTGTTGAGGTAAGTCTTACTACCTATACGGCACCAGGCATGTTTATTTATATGCCTGGTTGGGTATTCATAAGGTCATGATTTTGGATTCTGCCAACTTGGACTTCAAATATATTATTGACATCAAAATTTAAACTGCTTTGAATGGCTGCAAGCAGGCTTTCTTGTGCTGGCCCCATCATTGCTGAAGTGGCTCGTAGGACAGAGGGATACAGTGGAGATGATCTAACAAATGTTTGCCGGGATGCTTCTTTGAATGGCATGAGGCGCAATATAGCAGGAAAGACACGCAATGAGATCAAAAACATGTCCAAAGATGAGATTTCAAAAGATCCCGTTGCTATGTGCGACTTTTTAGAGGCCTTGAATAAGGTTCAACCAAGTGTTTCAGCAGCTGATATCGAAAAGCACGAGAAGTGGTCTGCTGAATTTGGACATGGGAAGCACGAGACCTACAGATGAATTTCGAGTTCTTAAGGAAGCCATGGGAAGTACTGTTGCTTGGCCAAAATTAGACTCATTTGACGAAGGTATTTCATGAATTTTTGGAAAGCCTGTTGGTCAGAAAACTGTTGATGAAGTGTGGAGAGATGCATTTAAGGATGGTGTGGAAGATGGAAGGACTTGTGGTAGTTCTTTTTTTTTTTTTAAATGTATTGGATTTTTGGAAGTTTCAAAATTTTTGATCTGAATTTTGTATGGATATTGTTACATTTTGGAATTCAGTTAATGATGATTATTAGAGTTATTTGATATTGTTGTCTTCTATCTTGTTTTGTGGTTGATTTATGTAAATCATTGTACAAATAAAAGAATTAAAAATTAAAAAAAATGTAAAATAACCTACGGCAACGTTCGTTGAACGTTGCGGAAAATGTCTACGGCAACGTTCGCTGAACGTTGCGGAAAGTGTCTACGGCAACGTTCAAGGAACGTTGCGGTAGGATCTATGGCAACGTTCACGGAACGTTGCTGAAAGTGTCTACGGCAACATGCAATGAACGTTGTCGTAGATCATACGGCAACGTGCAATGAATGTTGCCGTAGACACTTTCAGCAACGTTCAATGAACGTTGCCAAAAGTTGGAACTCTACGGCGACATCAAATCCGGCAACGTGCACCCGAACGCTGCCAAAAATCTATGACAACGTTCTTCACACGTTGCCATAGGCAGTTTTTGGTGTAGTGTGTGTTAATTTATTTTGATATTTTCACGCTTCATTTGTTTCAATTCTATATCTATTTCTTTATATCCATTTTATGCAAATAGTTTCTTCAATCCGTTCAAACATATCATCCCATATTTGAACTCATCCTCATTCAAGCACACAACCATCATTTATATCAAAACAAAACACTTTCTTCGATCCTCGTTCAAAAGCATCGACGCATTTATCCAACGATGACTTGTAGAGTTTGATACTACCAACGTTGGCCCCTTGAAGATGGAGATGATGACAGTGAGGGCTCGGCTATGATTCTTGTTTCAATATCCATCTAGCATATTAGAAATAATCACCTTGTTTGGCTCGTTTTTCCAAAAATGCATTTTGTTAAAAAAAAAAAATATATTTTCAATCGCACCTCTTATAAAATAATATTATGTGTAAACTCAATTCTTTTTAAACATATATTCTACAAAAAATATATATATTATTTCAAAATAGATTTTTCACCAAAATCTCATTTTAATAGAGCCCAAACAAGGGTAATATATAGTTCATGGAAAGATATAAATAACTTTTCCTTCTTCAATGATGGAAGCCATTAGGATATAAGAGCATCTCCAAAAAATTTTCTAAATACAAAATGTTCTTTATTTAAAGAGTTAATACTTAAAAATAATCTCTAATAGACTCTCTATTTTAACTTCTTAAAATGGAGTTTTTAATTACCAATGATTGCATTTATTAAGTCACATATTTCAATATCTACTTCTTAAATTATTCAAACCATATTTAAATTTATTGGTCATTGACATATAAAAAATTACGTTAAATAAAAAATGAGGAAAAATCAATAAATGGTTTTTGAGAAAAGTAAAATGAAGAGCCAAAATAGAGAATATTGCTGGAGTGCATAAAAATTTTAACTTTTTAAATTTAAATATAGTCTCTATAATACATAAAATGCTCTTTATAATTAACCAATCTCTTGGTGATGCTCTAACGAATTTTAACTTTCTTGGTTCTCTTTCTACAATGATTTTTTATCTTGTTTAATTTACTTGAGATAATGATGTTTCTTATCCATAACTATATGTATAAATTGCAAGGTTACATGCTCTGTTTGACAATTATTATTTCAAAACTCTTTAATTTTTATACTTATTTTCAATCACATATTTGTACAATAAATATTTTGCACATAAACAAAATTTTTTTCCTTATCATTTAATCACACGTTCTACAAAAAGTCACTATTTAAAACTCTATTTTCTTAAAATAATGATTGTCAAATAGTTGTCCAGTCAGATAGCGGATTGGAAAATGGTAGCTGTGGAGATGGGGCCAAAGGATGATGTTTTCTTCTTTTGCACTGAGCTAATACATTGCATTATGAAATAATAAAGGGAAAATTAGGCCCAGTGCCCTGTAAAAATAATTAATTTGATTAATGCCCTTCTAATCTAATTAAATCTTTCAAACAAGTAATAAATACGTCCTAAACTACTAACTAAAACCCCAAATCAAAAGGAAGGAAGAAAAATGAAGTTCTTCCCTCCGCGATCTGTGACGATGGGGAAAGGACACCCACTCCACTCCGGGAATATCCTTAAAAAAAGATGTCGATGCAGAGTGACAGCTGCGACGGGAGAATGACCTGTGTTTTTGGTGTGATGAGAAATACACCATAGGTCATCAATGTAAGAATCGCGAGCTGAAGGTAATGCTAGTACATGAAGATGAACATACTGACGAGGAAGAGCGTGATCTGCCGACATAGGAACAGCTAGTAGAGGTGGCGAAAAGGGTGGAACTATCATTAAATTTGGTAGTAGGTTTGAGGACGCCTGGTACTATGAAGATTAAAGGTATAGCGGCACAACATGAGGTAACGGTCTGAATTGATTGTAGGGCAACCAACAATTTTATTTTATTGGAGCTAGTCAAGAAATTGGATCTGCCAACTGCGACGACTACAACTTATGGAGTTATCATGGGGTCTAGTGAAGTTGTAAAAGGAAAGGGGATTTTCAACGGAGTCGTGGTGGAGATGCAGGGGCTAACAATAGTAGAGGACTTCCTACCCAAAGCTGGGCAGCTCGGATATGGTGTTGGGAATGCAATGGTTAGGTAACCTGGGCAGTATGGAAGTCAAGTGGAAACTCCTTACTATGCGGTTTCGAATTGGAGATTCAATCATGAGTCTGAAAGGAGATCCCGGGCTGAACAAAGCGGGAGTCTAAAAATGATTACTACTTTTTAATTTTTCCTTTTGCAGTTGTAAATCTGGAATTTTATAATGAAGATTGCATAAATGCAGTGCTTTGAATTGAAACAAAGATTACAAATTAATTTTTTGTTGGATTCTTTCATTTAACGGTTGGTCAGTCCCAATCATATACTATACCAATTAAATTAAATTATACTCTTAACTAAAAAGAACGGAAAAAAAGCTATTAGGTGATGGCCAAGGTTGGTGTCAAAATGTTTTAATTATAGTTGGTGTTCAATATTATTTGGTTGTTGTCACTCTTTTGAATATTTATTACTTTTTTGAATTTTTATCATTTAATTGAATAGTTTTCAAATCCAAAATATGTTAGTTAATAGAAGTGAAACATAATCACAAGCATATAACATGTAAAAGAAAATCAACCTATTTTAAGGTTATGATTTGTGTTAAATATTACTTGTTACTTTTTTGAGTGTTTGTCAATTTTTTTGTCAATTTTTTGAATTTCTGTCACTTTTTTAAAGTTTGCCACTTTTTTGAGTGTTTGTCACTTTTTAAATCTGTATAGCTTCTTTTTAATTTGTGCCAGTTTTTCAAATGTCACTTTTTTGAATTTTGTCACTTTTTTTAGTGTTTATCACATTTTTAAGTCATCTTCTTAATTTCTATCACTTTTTTTAGTGACAAATATCGATTTTTAATAAAAGTGACATTGTATGTCATTTTTAATAAAAAAGTGACACTTAACTTTAAAACGTAACAGCGTGTCACTTTTTCAGCGTCACTTAATTTTATGTATTACCATCTAGGGATGTCAAAGTTGCTCATTTTTTTCTCTTCTTATCAATTACGCATTCTTTAATAAAATAATATTATACTTAAATATAAAAAAAATTCTTTTTTAACCCCATATTATACAAAATTTACTATTTCTTTCATTATAATCTACGATAATGGAGCCCAAACAAGGGCTTAAGAAAACCTCTAAAATATAAGGATCTCGTCTAGCTGATGTGGCTAACAAAAAAATAAAAATAAAAAATAGACCGTGTCTAGAGCGAGATTTAGATATAGAGGTTTTCTAAAACATAATGATTCAACAATTTGTTTGCTTCTGTTTCTGCCTTTGAAATATTAAATTCTCTCTCTCTCTCTCTCTCTCTCTCTCTCTCTCTCTCTCTCTATCTCTCTATATATATATATTATTTTTTTCGTCTGTTTCTGCCTTTGAAATATTAAATTCTCTCTCTCTCTCTCTCTCTCTCTCTCTCTCTCTCTCTCTCTCTCTCTCTATATATATATATTATTTTTTATTAATAAAAGAAAAATAGGCCAAACCAAAGGAAGAAATGTTGGACTACGAATAGAACCTATTGGAGATTAATTTTTAACTTCATTAGACATCAATGTCATGTAAACTGAAAAATCATATATTTAAAGAGTAATATTATTTAATCCCACTGAATTTATGAATTACAATCCATACCTTTCATTTAGCCTATCAATATCTAGCGTCATTTAAATTGGAGTTGTAACTTCAGTGGAGTTACATATCATTACTCTTATTTAAATGCCATATAGATTACGATGCATGGAGCATAGTCAATTCTAATGTAAATTAAACTAAATATAGTTGCCACATAAGTTAAAATATACGGTGCCTAAACAATTCTTCTCTAATACAAGGGTGTGTTTGAGTCCTTTTATTTTTTTTTCAAAAGGTTTTTTAATAGTAATTTTTTGGTGAACGTGCGATTAAAAATAGAAAGAAAAAATTGATTTTATGTTTAAAATTATTTTATTGAAAAAATGTGTAATTAAAAATAAATTTAGGAAAAATGATTTTTTACTGAATGAAGGTCAAAGAGGTGCTAGGCCTAGAACTATTGTCCAGCTGACGTGAAAAAAAAAAGAGTTATTGTCAAGATGATCATTCAATGTAGAGGCTATTTTAGACGGATAGAATATTTCTCTCTTTCTCTATCCCATTTCTTTGATTTTTCTTTCTCATGGTCATTATTGTTTCTCTCCATTAAATATATATTATGGATGAAACTTGAATTATAGACGAAATTGACTAGAGATAAAATTTGAACTAGGCTTTCTATTCATTGTTAGACATTAATATCACGTAGAGCAAAAGCACTTTTATTTATATGCCACTTAGATTGTAATTCATAAAATGCAATGGATATGTTTTAAGAGAATAAATATGTTCAATCTATATTAAACGAGTAGTGTGGAATAATAAATTGTTCATTTTGGTCATTTTTTCACTTGTTTTTTTTATTTCGGCTACATACATTACTTTTTCCTGCAAAATGTAAATTACATAGAATTAAGTCATATTCTAACATATTAATCAATAATTTTTCATGTTTTGACAGTAAAATAAGTATGTAAAAATGCATTTATCAAACTCCTCCAAACTTGAACTATTGTTTGTCCTCAAACAAAACCATAGCTTAAATCTACATAAAACGTGGTTTGACTACATGCCTTGTCTCAGGATTGAAATTCAGTACTCAAACAAATAAACAATTTCAACAGTGCAAAAATTAAATCAATCTCCACTTGTTACATGCATAAATCGACGTGTGTGTGTGAAAATATAGTTGAAAGTCAAACTAAAAGAGTAGGTGGGCGGAGGGAAGAGGGTATGGGAATACCCTATCGTCACCGTTCGGATTACCATTATATATTCAATTATAAAGTATTTTGTATTAGAAAATAAACGATGCCTAACTGCAATATTGGGTTGTAGAAGATATTCATTGGAAATAAATTTTAAGCTTCGTCATCTATTCGATAGATATCGATGTCACGTGGAGTGAAAATACGTCTATTTGCTTGTCTGTAGATGGGAATCCATTGAGCGCATAGCATCTCTAATGCATTTCCAGAATTGCTTAAAAGTTTACCACAAAAACAAAAATAGAAGACATTTAGCCCCTGTTTGGCTCTCTCCCATTAAATTAAATTTCATTTTTCTCCTCTTCTTATCAATTACACATTATCCAATAAAATAATATTATACGTAAATCTATAATAATTTTCTTTTTTTAACCACACATTATTCAAAAAATTACTATTCCTTCCGTTATAATCTACAATAATGGAGCCCAAAGGGGCTTAAGAAAACCTCTAAAATATAAGGATCTTGTCTAGCTGATGTGGCTAACAAAAATAAAAAAATAAAAAAAATAGACCGTGTCTAGATAGAGATTTAGATATAGAGGTTTTTTAAAACATTACTCAACAATTTGTTTGCTTCTGTTTCTACCTTTAAAATATTAAATTTTCTCTCTCTCTTGCTCTATTTTATTATTTTAATTTTATTATTAGTAAAAGACAAATAGGCCAAAGGCAGAAATACTGGACTATGAATAGAACCTATTGGAGATTACTGTTTAACTTTACCGTATATTCATTAGACATCAATGTCATATAAATTGAAAAAGAATTAATCTACTCCAACATGGAAACATAGACCGGGGAAAAAACAGACAAGCATTGCTGCCAAGTATATTCATTAGACATCATTGTCATAACGTTACCGTATATTCATTAGACATCATTTTTCCATTTCCCAATGAATTGCTGCCAAGTGCTTCTGTTTGCGAATTTCTGTCAATTTTCCATGTTTGTCTAGCATTGCTCATTGAAAAATCATCTATTTAAAGAGTAATGTTATTTAACTCCATTGAAGTTACAACCCCAATTTAAATGACACTAGATGTTAGGCTAAATGAAAGGTAGAATTACTTAACATTACTCTTATTTAAACGGCATATAGATTGCAATGCATGGAGCATCTCCAATTCTAATGTAAATTAAACTAAATATAGTTGCCACATAAGTTAAAATGTACGGTGTCTACACAATTCTTCTCTAATACAAAGGTGTGTTTGAGTCCTATTTTTTATTTTTATTTTTTTCAAAATGTTTTTTTAATAGTAGTTTATTGGTGAATGTGTGATTAAAAATAGAAAATAATTGGTTTTATGTATAAAATTATTTTATTGGAAAAATATGTAATTAAAAATAAGTCCAGGAAAAAAAATGAATTTTTACCGAATGAAGGTCAATCAGGGTCTAGGCCTAGAACTATTGTCCAGCTGACGTGAAAAAAAAAAGAGTTATTGTCAAGGATTTCTCGACGTGGAGGTTATTTTAGACTGATGAGTCTCCATAATAAAATATTTTCGCTCTCTATCCCATTTCTTTGACTTTTCTTTCTCATCTTCATTATTGTTTCTCTATTAAATATATATTATGGATGAAACTTGAATTATAGGCGGAATTCATTGGAGATAAAATTTGAACTAGACCGTCTATTCGTTGTTAGACATTAATATCATGCAGAGCGAAAACACTTTTATTTAGATGCCACTTAGATTGCAATTCATGAAATGCATTGGATATGCTTTAAAAGAATAAAAATGTTGAATTTATATTGAATCATAACTTAACCCCTTGTGTTGCGTGGATAAAAATTTGAGTCAAAATCAATAATTAATGTTAACCATACATTTTATAGAATCCACAACTTTTCAACCACATATTTAAACAACTTTTATCAAATTTTACTAAAAATTTGATTTTTAATTAAACCAAGCAGGGGCTAAATGTCATTAAATTTTTTTTCCTAAGTTTATACTTGTACTTAGAAACTCAAAATGGGTCATGTTTCGCGGTTTCAATGAAACTAACGTGACGATTTTACGAAGATTTCATGATCGGAGATTCACTACAGTTGAAGACCAACTTGCTTATACAGATAATTAATGAATCTGGACAACGGTAACGTCCATGTTCTATGATCCTAGTTTAGACAAAGAAAGCCGGTTCCAGGGTGACACGTGTCATTATGTCCCCTGTAATAATTTGGCAATTAGCTTTTTAACAAATAAATAAATTGTTAAGTTTTTTCTTTACCAAATACAAAGGAATCTAACGTTTGCTTGTAACAATTTGTAAAAGCCATTGCTCGATGGCATTTCCCTCTGCCACGAAGAATAATGTTATTCATCTAGATAATTTATATCGTATTGAGATTATTATTATTATTATATTTTGGAGGTGGTTAGGTGGGGCTTGTTAATCTTGGCATCAAGTAGGAGAAATTAGAAGTCATTTTAATTAGAAGTTTTTAAATTCCAATCTGACGTATAACTGGACAAATTTCTTTGGTTAACAAATTTCAACTTTAAGTGCCTGCAAAGGAATATTGTTCCATTTTTCTTGTCATAGAGTGCCAACGAAGTCCAACATTATGAGTTTGGTTAACAAAGTCCAATGTAAGCAACAGTACTTTGTCATGAATTTATGTTTGTTAATTGTTAATAGTACACTATCGATTGATACATCAACTCTAATTGCATATATAATGTGCATTTAATCAAGGTAAGCACACATACGGATCAAATTCTAGACCAATGCTCGTTCATTATTGTACTAACATTTTCATTTCTTCAAGTAAAAACAGGTAAAAAGCAAATCATTGTTCAACTTATATAAATAAAAGTGTTTATGAATTATTCTTTTCTATATTGCTCAAGTGGGACAATATTCATGGATACATGCAGAAGATCACAATTTGATAGGAAAAGCCTCGAGAGGAATGGCCTTCTGTAGAGTAATTCCAAATCTCTCAGTCATGTCTATTTCTTCCGGTTTTAATCCCTTTTCAAGTTTCCATTCAAAGTTGCATATCAAAGTGGCTAGCATGAGGTGCACCATTCGACGGGCCAATGTCAAACCTGGGCATATCCTCCTCCCTGCACCAAAAGGAATGAGCTCGAAATCTTGACCTTGGAAATCAGTTTTGCGATCTAAAAATCTTTCAGGCATAAACAAATCTGGACTTAACCAATTGTTTGAATCTCTACCACTGGCCCATACATTAACTAGAATTTGTGCGTTTTTAGGGACTAAGTAGCCATTGATCTCTACATCTCCATCAGCTTTATGAGGTACTAAAAGTGGGGCAGCAGGGTGGAGCCTAAAGGTTTCTTTCACCACGGCCTGCAAGTATGGGAGCCTTGAAATGTCTGATTCTTGAATTATACTGTTCATTCCAATTACATCCCTAAGCTCATTTCTAGCTTTTATTATCTTCTCAGGGTTGCGCAATAACTCTGCTATTGCCCATTCAACTGTACTTGAAGTTGTGTCTGCCCCACCAACAAATAGATCCTACAAACAGAGAAATTAATTACGTTCTTAATCGAAATCCGGTCTTAAATTCCATTTGATAGTCTTTTCTAAAAGCATAAAAGCAGCTCAACATGGTATTAAATTTGATAGAAAGCATATATTCAAGCCTCATTGCAACCTATTCGTCATAAACTTTGCGTGTCTTTGACCAAAAGATAAATTCATTTTGCTTAAGATAACATTGAAATATATAAAAGGATTAAACTTTTAGTTGATTCAATAAACATGCCATTTCTAGATTAATGTACTATGTCTATGTAATTAGTGCATATACTATTGCATGATTGTTATTGGAAGTGCTGTATCATTTTGCCTAAATCCCCACGTGGTCCACTTTACAAAGACACATGGTAGAATCAACATGTTGGTAGGCCTACTTAGGTTAGGGAGGCATTGTCCCTCCATTGTTACCAACCTTTGATGTGTAATCGAAGTGTTGCCAGCTAGAACTAGGTTTTCAAATCCCTGGTATTCTTATGAGTACTTCGATTTTTTTGGGGTATTGATTCTATGGTCCATATGGAAATTTAGGCAAAATGATAGATCGCTATCCGTACCAATCACACAATAGTATGTCAACTATTTAGATAAACATGGCATATTCTAAAAAAGGCCATGTTATAGAATCATTTCGACTAAAAGTCTAAAACTTTTAATTATTTCAATGTTCATGTTAAGCAAAATGAATTTATCTTTTAGTCAAAAACTCACACATGTACAATTTATGATAAAATAGGTTAGAATGAGGCTTGAACTTATGCTATAGGCTTTAATATCATGTTGAGCCGCTTTTATACTTTGACAAAGGACGGCATTAAACTTACTAATCAGAGGATATGCTTTTGGTTTTTCCTTGTATTAGTCTCCTTTACTATAGTGAAATAGCACCTAATTACCTCAAATAATTAAAAAAGAAAAAAATTTAGTTTTAAACGAACCTGAAAATAAAAAAAAAAATCAGTATAATACTTACCAGAAGAAGATGCTTTATATCATTCAGTATAATACATACCAGAAGAAGATGCTTTTTATCATCTCGGCTTAATTCAGGGTCAGGTTTTTGGTTGAGATCAAGGAGAGCGTCCAGTAAATCATTTTTCACTGATGTACCTCTTGATTTCAACCGTTCATCTATTATGCCATCGAATATTGCAAACAACTTTTCAAAATAAAACGTGTTCCGGCGCAAAATTCCTTGTGGATCAAATTTTTTGAGAACTGGAAAATAGTCTGCAATATTAGGAGTTCCAATACATTCCATCACACCCCATATAACTTCCTTAAACTCTTGAGAAGAATCAGAGTTAAAATCAGCAAATTCAACTGAAAAAAGAGTTGCCGACATCAAATTAAGCGATGTAATTAAAGCAGCTTCACCAATTTTAACAGTCTGCCCATTAACACTACACTGATTCACATAATCACTCAGTGTCAGCAACTTTTCCCGGCGAAGGTCCCAACTTGCATCAAGCCTTGGAGTTGAAAACATTTGTTCTTTACATATTCTGCGAAGTTTACGCCATTGGTTTTCCACTGGCAACCACACCATAGAAAGTTTGTTGTGTTCTTGGGCATTGGCTGCACTAGGAGCACTTCTGCTGGAGAAGACATGATCGTATTTTTGCAATACATCTTTGGCTATTTCGGGTGATGAAACAACTACAACATCAAGACACCCTATTTTAAGATATATTAAGGGTTGGGTGATGAAACAACTACAACATCAAGACACCCTATTTTATGATATATTTAGGGCCCATAGGTTTTGGAGAGCTTGGCCAGTGACCGGTGGGGTTTCTTGCCGAGTTCTAGTATGTTTCCAATGATTGGAAAAGGATATGGCCCCGGCGGGAGCTTGCCGGATTTCCTGCGCTTTGAATTTAATGTTTGGAAAAGAATCCATATCCAAATGATAGATAAAAGAAGAAGCAAAAAAGTAAGGAAATCCATGGACACGGTGTTTCGTTTTTCCCCTTCGTTGTCTTCTACGGGGGAAGATTTCTGTTATATAGCTGCAGACCGACGGCAATCTCGAAAAGTAGTGTTTAATATATAATGATTAATTTTTAGAAACCTACCATAAATTGGACGAAAAATATTATGAAACTCAAGAAAAGAAATGTAACTTATACACTCTTTTCTCGATACGATTGTTGATTAGGTGAAAAAATTGTGTAACATTTAAATTGTCAAATGACGTGTTGCCACGTGGTAAAATATAAAGGAAAATGTAAATGATGACGATTATATCAAGATTACACGTGGACCACAAATCTGTAACCTTGACGTCAAAGACTTGAAATTCAAAAATTTCTGCAGAAAAGGAAATGGCATGGATAACTTCGATACCCCAACGTCAACTCTTAAATTTCGACATTCACTGCGAAGAAGGAAAAATGAAGTTTGGAAAACTGTGCCATTTTTATCAAATTTATTGTCAATTAGCGAAATGATTTCTAAATTTCAAATATAACAATTTAATTCTCAATTTTTTTTCATGATTGCACAATTAATTCTGAACTAAATTAGAAATGTAAAAATGGTCTCCTTGGTAGGCATGGACCCAATCTTTTTCTATCATGGGGTCAAAAATTAAAATACATTTTTTAAAAAGAAAAATGTCATAACATTAATGAAAATAAGTCAATATATTATTATAATTGTTGTCTACGCATTTTCATCCTTTGCAAGAAGTCCAAGATGAAAGTAAGTATTTTGTGAAAAACTAAAATTGAAATTTGCAGGTGTTAGAATTGGGTTGTGACCCTAATTCTTGTTAAGTATTGGATTGGAAATATTGTTAGAGTAATGAGAGTTGATAGTATATTTGAAAATATATTGAAGAAGTCCAAGGTGAATTTGACTCATATTTCATTACAAATTCTTCATTATTGGTTTTACCTATTGTATTGGGACTTCACCTTATATTAAACTCTTCATGTATTAATTTTCCTAATATGTTAGAGGTTCTTTGATTATAAATATATAGTGTACGACACAGATTAGAATTGACTAATTGTCTAATTAATTATTGGTTCAAAGAGTTCATTTGTAACTCTTTACTATTGATTATAGTGAATTCTCCTCCACTTTCCGTGATTTTTCCCGAATTTGAGTTTCCACGTAAATCTTGTTTTCTTTGTGATCTATTATTTTCATATTATTCTCGTCTTTATTAATTGGCATAATTCTCAACAAAGTGGTATCAGAGCGATTCTAATATCTTGTTTGTTTCTGATAGCAGACAATAATTTGATAATCTAAACATCCAATTTATAACAAACGTCAACCAAAAAACAAATCCAATTATGCCTCAGAAGGTAAATTTCGTTAAACTTCGAAATGGCCCAAATCTCGAATTCCAAAAAATCTTCCATCTAAAATACTAATTTCAACAACAACCTCATCTTCCCAAACACATTTAACCCTCAAAATCATAAAAAATCAAATACATAGTACAGAAGAGAGTAACACATTTAATATTTTCAATCAAATATCATATACAACAAATAAAATCGAACATTAGACCTCCAAAGACTGTAAAGAACCAACACGTAAACTGTGATCTTAGACCTGAAAATTCCACCATTGCTAATTTTTACTTTGTCAAAATTTCCAAAAAGAATTTAGAAACCGTAAAGATTCTTCTATGTTTGAAACCTTTCTCTCTCTCTATTTCTTCACCACTGAATTAATATTTGAAGAATTTCTAAATCCAAAACTCAATAATTCATTTAATTAACAAACGGATAATCAAATAAACTAACAAAATGAACACTCATTGAGCTTAAGCAAAAAACTTACACTAGGGAAAAAAAAAAAAAGTAACTAAAGAATTTTTGATTAAAAAAAAAAAAGGCAAAATTTTTTTTGGGGGTCACCCATGCTCCTTGGCCCTTTGCACATGTGACTAGTGATGGCAATCGAGCCGAGCGGCTCGTCGGCTCGGCTGCTCGGCTCGTACTGTAGCGATCCACGAGCTGCTCGAACTCGTCAAAAGACGAGCCCGAGCTCGAGCCGAGCGGACCCGTTCATAGACGAGCCGAGCTCGGCTCGGCTCGTTAAGAG